GCCCAGAGCCAGACGCCATTGGCGGGAGAGCCCAGTATAAAAGATAAAGAACCGTAGACGAGGGTAGCCTTTGGGCCGACTTTGTCGCGCATGCAAACAAGCTCTACAAGCCCGCTTTCATTGCGGCGTTCGAAGAAGCTCCTGTGCTGGCATGCGTCGGGCCAGTGGGTGGCTCTCATATGCGGTTTCTGCGTCGGCCTAAGTGACGCGTTCACCAAGCAGCAAGCTCCGTCTGCTGCACCTAGACCACGAGCGTTGTCGTCACTTGCGACCTGTGTGTGGAAGCGAGCGATGCCTTCATCTCCGATCGCGTGGGACGACGGCGTGGACGGGGGCCTGCTCTGCCACCTCCTCTTCAGCGTCACAGCAAACGCGACTCGCGGTCCGGCGATGCTGCGATTTCGATGTGGTCCGGGAGCGTCGCGCGGTCACAAGCTGAACATGCCGCATTACGAGACGCTCGTCGACGTCGCTCTCACAAAGCCGGATGAACTAACAACTCTCGAATCTCGAAGACAGCGCAAGTAGGATTAGAGCCGGAGGAGCACGAGTTTGGTCAGCGCCCTGCTGAAACGCAAATCCGAGACGCAAAAAAAGAAATCACCCGTCTCGTGAAAAATAAAAAAGAAGCATGGCTCAATATCCCAGCAAAAGCTACAATTAGACCGTCCGATTTCACGCACCTCCTTCTCGAGCCCACTCACATCAAGAGCTCGAACCCTACCCGCCCGCTCGCCGCATCTCGAATCGCTCCCTTCCCTTCGTCGCCCAATTCGTTGTAGCGGAGGTCGATGTTTTTCAGCACCCCGTTGACGCGCAGAGCGGAGGCCAGCGCCTTGGCGCCCTCGTCACCAATGTCGTTCTGATAGAGCGAGAGTTTGGTCAGCACCCCGTTGACCTCGAGGGCCTTGGCGATCGCGCGTACGCCCGTCTGCACTACATCGACCAGCTTCAGGTCGCCGTCAGAGTCCACCCCCACGCTCACGACCATCTCGCGGCCCTGGTAGATCACCTTAGCTCCGACCTCCTTGGACTCGCCCTCGACCTCGCTCGCGTTGATGTAGTCGGTCTCGCCGTTGATGTTGTTGCCCGACAGGTTCAGGTCGGTCAGCACCCTGTTGACCTCGAGCGCCTTGCCGATCGCGACGCCGCCCGCGGGGCCGATGTCGCTGAACGAGAGATTGAGGGTGGTCAGCACCCCGTTGCCTCGCAGAGCTGCGCCGATCGCATTGGCGCCCTCGTCGCCGATGCTGTTGCTGCCGAGGTAGAGCTCTTTCAACACCTCGTTGCCCTGCAGCGCCTCGGCGATCGCGACGCCGCCCACGGGGCCGATGTCGTTGCGGCTGATATCGAGGACGTTCAGCACCCCGTTGACCGAAAGCCCCGCCGCGACGACGGCAGCCGATCCGGGTCCGAGTCCCTTGTTCGACAAGTCGAGCGAACGCACCGCCTCGCGCCCGCAGAGCTGCTGCGGGTTGAGCGTCAGCTCGTCGCCCACGTTCAGCGCGACGAGCGTGTGCGTCTTCCGCACCGCGCCGAGCAGCGCCTCCCGCACGCGGCCGCACACATTGCCCCAGTCGAGCGTCAGCGACGTCAGCGCCGACGGCTCCGACTCCATCCACGCGACCGCCGTGCCCACCATCACGCCATCGTCGCCAAGGTCGAACCCCGACAAATCGACGCGGCTGGCCTGCAGCGGCAACACCGCATCCATCGCCGCGGCAAGCTCGCCGCCGCCGCCGCGCTGCATCGCCGCCGCAAGCACCGCCGCGCGCTTCACCTTGAGCGCGTCGCCCACCGCCGCTTGGAAGCGCACGTCATCGTTGTACGCCTCAGCCTTGTCGCCGAGCGGCGCCTTGAGCCGCTTGTCCTCCGCGCCCCCCTCCGCGCATCGATCGAGGCCGAGCCGGATGCGCACTAGTTGCGACGCCTCCGCCGCCGCCTCCTCCGCCACCCCCCGGCGCACCTCCGCCGCCATCTGCGCGCCCATGTCGGTGAGCAGCTTAAGGCGCTTGCCCGCCACCTGCTCGAGCGTGAGCGAGGCCATGTTGATGGAGAAGCTGCACTGGACGACGAGCGTGCTGCCCTCCACGCCCGTCAACCGCACCTGCA